TTCTTTTGCCACATAGATTCCTCGCAATATTACTACGGCCTTACGAGGAAACAGTTTTCCCGTATGTTTACGAGGACTTTACGAGGATTCTTGTTTTCCTTGTAAAACCGAAGTAATCTCATATTAAGTTTACGAGGAAATATTTTCCTAGTAAACTCTTATTTTTCTTGTAGTGTAAGAGTGTGAGATAGTTGGATGTTTGTTTTTGCTTCTCTTCTTTACTATAGAGCATGAATCTAATGGGTCTCCAGCTCAACTGTCCTGCACATTGAATGGGTTTTTCTTAGAGAGTTGATAAGTTTTTGAGGAAGATTATGGGTNGTTTGTTTTTGCTTCTCTTCTTTACTATAGAGCATGAATCTAATGGGTCTCCAGCTCAACTGTCCTGCACATTGAATGGGTTTTTCTTAGAGAGTTGATAAGTTTTTGAGGAAGATTATGGGTGCAAAAGAAAGAAGATGAAATTGATTACCATAAGGGCTTCTCTTCTGCAGATCTAATTGTTTTGCGACTTGGCAGCCTTTTCACGATTCGGTTTGGATCAGGTCTCATAGGCGAGTGTATTTTGATGAGCTAGACAAAAAGAAGAGATCAAGTCAAAACCAAAGAGTTTGAACAGGTCTCTAATAAACGAATCAAGTGATTGTTGCCATCTGTCGCAGATAAAATGTACAAACTTCTATCTGAAATGAAGAAACCGAGTAAACAAATACTTACACCCAAGCATTCCATCATCTGGTAGTACGTTTTACTACCAAATGTGTAAACTTGTATGTATACTTTACAATCAGACTCGAGAAGGAGTTCGCCGCTTCGCCTTTTCCTTTCTTCGAGTTGGGATCACCAGATAACGTTAATTTGACAGATGAACTCATATTAATGAGAAGAAAAAATCAATTTTTTGTTTGAGAAGAACTCCGAAGAAGAACTTTATATAGAGACTCAGTAAGAGAAAAACGAAAAGAATCCATTAATAAGATTCAAGGGAGAAAATAAGTAGAAGGGGTATTGATTGATCATAGATCAGCATGATGAAACAAAACCGAAAAAGACTTAAAGCAAAGAGTTCACCAATCGTTTTATCAAAATTAGGGTTTCGACAAATTGAGAAAGAGGATAACGAAGAAGACGAAAACCGGTGAAAATCGAACCAACTAGTTTTCCTACCATGCTTCAACTGAAATGCATTTGTCCTTCCATTACAATATGGACAAGCTAATCTCCAATCTGTAGTCCACCCAGACAACATCCTATATGCACGAAAGTCACTTATGGTCCATAAAAGCATCGCTCGCATCGTAAAATTTGTTTTCGTTGAACAATCATATGTCCTCACCCCTGTTGATCACAAATCTTTCAACTCTTTTATCAGTGGTTGTAGAAAAACGTCGAGAGATCTTTTTGGATGCTTTGGACCAGGTATTAATATAGTCAAGAATATAATTTCTCGTCGCATGCACATCTCCGGTGGAAGGTTGTACGGTGTAAGAAACACTGGCCACAATGAATATTGTCTCCCTGACATTCCAAATGGACTAAATCCATCAGTGCATAATCCAAGATACACATTCCGGCTATTGCTAGCGAAATGTGGATGTACATTGTTAATATGTTTCCAATCTCTTGCATCTGATGGATGAGTCATCTCTCCGTCTGTCTGAGTATGCTCGGCGTGCCATCTCATCCCTGTAGCAGTCTCCTCAGATTGTAACAATCTTTTCAATCTGTTTGTGATTGGTAGGTACCACATCCTTTGGTACGGTACCCTATTACGCCCTCGACCTTACGGTTTGAATCGTGGCTTCTTAAAAAATCAACATTCTTCTAACTTCTCATCATCTTCCCGGTAAATCATGCAGTTGTCGATGCAAACGTCTATCAACTCCGAGGGCAACCCAAAACTATACACCAATTTCTGAATATCATAATAAGATTCAGCAAACACATTTTCTTCTGGCAAATACTCTTTAAACAAGTCTGCCCATGGATCCCTACAATTTCCAGGTAGATTGTGATCGGTTTTACTACTCATCATTTTAGCAGCCAACGACAATTTAGACAGACCTTCCCTACAACTACTGTAAACTGGCTCATTCGCAGCTTTTAACATTTCATTAAAAAATTTTGCATCTAAGTTAGGTTCTTCATCTTCATCATCATCATGAGTTACAAATGCATCACCTACCATATCATGAACCCTATCACAATCTACCATTTGTTCCTCCTGGTGATGATAGCTATTTTCATTACGCAAATGATCAACCGCTTCAACCTAAAAATTGCTATTACTACTGCTAGCTTCATTCCTACAACTAGCATCTTCTCCATGTTGATACCAAATATAATAATATGGAATAAAACCTCTATTTATTAAATGCTTCCAAACATTTTCACGAGGGCCTAATTTTGTATTGCAGCATTTCCGACAAGGACATAACATCTTACCACTTTCCTGCGTGAGTGGTGTAGAATCGGCTTGATGCATAAACGTCTCCAACCCTTCGAGAAATTCTTTCGCCACTCTCCCTTTATTATCTTTGTGTGAATACATCCACTTCCACAACTTGAAAATATTTCTAGGACCAGACATTTTTTTTCTTTGATCAAGCTTAAAGCTGATTTTGTTTTTGTGTGTTTGAAATGAATTACAAATGGTGGTATTTATAGAAATTTTTGAATCTGAACATTTACTAGGAAATTGCTAGGAAAGGTAGGTACAAAACACGTTTTAGATTTAAAATATATATTTTCCTCGCTAATTTAAAGTAAAAGAACATTTCCTCCTAATTTCGTAGTAATGTTTTACTAGGACTTTACGATGAAATGTTTTACTAGGAAATTTTGAGGAAATGTTCTTTATCCACATAGATTCCTCGCAATATTACTACGGCCTTACGAGGAAACAGTTTTCCCGTATGTTTACGAGGACTTTACGAGGATTCTTGTTTTCCTTGTAAAACCGAAGTAATCTCTTATTAAGTTTACGAGGAAATATTTTCCTAGTAAACTCTTATTTTTCTTGTAGTGTAAGAGTGTGAGATAGTTGGATGTTTGTTTTTGCTTCTCTTCTTTACTATAGAGCATGAATCTAATGGGTCTCCAGCTCAACTGTCCTGCACATTGAATGGGTTTTTCTTAGAGAGTTGATAAGTTTTTGAGGAAGATTATGGGTNGTTTGTTTTTGCTTCTCTTCTTTACTATAGAGCATGAATCTAATGGGTCTCCAGCTCAACTGTCCTGCACATTGAATGGGTTTTTCTTAGAGAGTTGATAAGTTTTTGAGGAAGATTATGGGTGCAAAAGAAAGAAGATGAAATTGATTACCATAAGGGCTTCTCTTCTGCAGATCTAATTGTTTTGCGACTTGGCAGCTTTTTCACGATTCGGTTTGAATCAGGTCTCATAGGCGAGTGTATTTTGATGAGCTAGACAAAAAGAAGAGATCAAGTCAAAACCAAAAAGTTTGAACAGATCTCTAATAAACGAATCAAGTGATTGTTGCCATCTGTCGCAGATAAAATGTACAAACTTCTATCTGAAATGAAGAAACCGAGTAAACAAATACTTACACCCAAGCATTCCATCATCTGGTAGTAAGTTTGACTACCAAATGTGTAAACTTGTATGTATACTTTACAATCAGACTCGAGAAGGAGTTCGCCGCTTCGCCTTTTCCTTTCTTCGAGTTGGGATCACCAGATAACGTTAATTTGACAGATGAACTCATATTAGTGAGAAGAAAAAATCAATTTTTTGTTTGAGAAGAACTCCGAAGAAGAGCTTTATATAGAGACTCAGTAAGAGAAAAACGAAAAAGAATCCATTAATAAGATTCAAGGGAGAAAATAAGTAGAAGGGGTATTGATTGATCATAGATCAGCATGATGAAACAAAACCGAAAAAGACGTAAAGCAAAGAGTTCACCAATCGTTTTAGCAAAATTAGGGTTTCAACAAATTGAGAAAGAGGATAACGAAGAAGACGAAAACCGGTTTGGGTTTTATGGACTTGGACTTCTGATATTAACATGACGGATCTTTAAAATCTGAAGCTCAATTTTTGAATTTCTCATTGACGTGGCATGATGAATTAATCTATTGGTCAAAATTTTTTTCACACGTGAACAACTTCACAAGATTGCATATTCAACTTTTAATACTCGTTTGATCGAACTAATGTGAAGGTTGAAAATAAATGGCAGAATAAAATGTAGTAGAAAATAGCAGAATAATACGAGCAGAGTATGTAACGTGCAGGTCTCAATGCGTGTCTTATGACTTTCGTCTTTCGTAATCTGACGTTAGTTACAAACAATGAAGCTAATATTTAATAATTCATTACTTTCTAGAGGAAGTTAAGGAACCATAAAGGAAACAATAATTCGTGGTTGACTGAGCACTTTGCGTTATCAAACAGTTTCTAACAAATATAATTAATATTTATCTATTTTGTTATCGAGACCTTACTTGACCTCCACGCTGTAACTATCACGATCCCTTTAACACGATCAAAGTTATTATTTTAAACGGGTACGACGCTCGTCTCATTGACAATTGACATAGTCCAAATTAATCAGAATCCCACTGTGATTTTACAAAACCAACTAATCTAAACTTCAAAAGATATAAAAGATTTAGCAAGAACATGGAGGATTGTAGGGGTATTCTTCACACATATCAGGCAACTTAGAAGATATATTCAAATAAATGAACCACAATACTAAATGATTATCTTAAGCAACAATAATACTAATCCATTCTTAAAAAACAAGGTTGTGCCAGATAAACATCGTTCACTTAAACAAAGACTTAATTTTGTCTGGTCTGAAAGGTTACTTGCAAGGCATAAGAAAATAATGCAAAGAAGCTTTTCTTGCACCTCTCTTATATATCCTCGACGTACTTAAATGTCATCATTATTCCCTCTTCCATCAAAATAAAAGCATTTCATAAAGTAACAGATAAACATAGAGAATGAAAAAAACAAAAAGCTTTGAAGATATGGAAATCAGAGTTGTTGATCATCAAGGGAGTAGTACCGACGAAGATATCGAAAAGCCACTTCTAGAACAAGAGAAAGACTTTCCCGATGTAGAAAGAACAACATGGATACAAAAGGCAATAAGTCAAACGTTTCAAACCACAGCTCATTTAGCTAATCTCTTACCAACAGGGACCGTTCTCGCGTTCCAACTCTTGTCCCCAGTTTTCTCAAACGGCGGTCAATGCGATTTAGCTAGCAGGTTCATGACATCAATCCTAGTGGCAATATGTGGATTCTCTTGTTTCATTCTTAGCTTCACAGATTCTTACAAAGACACAAACGGCACTATTTGCTACGGATTTGCAACAGTCCATGGGTTTTGGATCATTGATGGTTCCGCGACGCTTCCTCATGAGTTAGCTAAAAAATATAAACTAAGATTTATAGATTTTGCTCATGCTTTCATGTCGTTATTGGTGTTTGTTGCGGTGGTTTTATTCGATCGGAATACGGTGAACTGTTTTTTTCCGGCCCCCTCAGCGGAAGAGTTGGAGGTTCTCACGGCGTTGCCGGTAGGCGTAGGGGTGTTTTGTAGTATGTTGTTTGCAACATTTCCTACAACACGCAATGGTATTGGTTTTCCAGTTCCGGGTAATAAATAATTTTATTATGTTGTTATTTATTTGTAATTTGATCGACATATGTAACTCGTTGATCATGATTCTTTTTTTTTTCTTGATGATCTCGTAAAAAGACTTGTTACAACATTCATGTGAAGAATAGATTTTTATTCAAGTTAATCATAATAATTTACTAGCTCACGCACATACGTACATATTCTCTTATGAATATCTAGTAATTTATCTTTTATTAATTCACAAACAATTATAGTAAGTTATTATTTATATTTTTTCAAAAAATTTTAAATCAAGCATCAAGTTATTTATATAAGATAAAATATTTTTCATCAAAATATATTTTTATCTAATTGTGTTAAAATTTTATAAACATTCACATATTAAACATATTTTATATAATATCTTTCTACAGATGTATTTTTTTATTAATATCTAGTTATAACTATTTTTATATTTAATTATTCACTTTATAATATAAAATTTATTTCTATATAACAAAAAAACAATTATATATAAAACGCAATATACATAAGAATTATCATGTTATTACAATATTAGTTTCAAATAACAACACAATACATATAATAATTATCTTTTTGGAAAATATGTTTTTAAGAATCTTATTATATTAATTTATAATCATTATCTACGATAACATATAAATTAAAACCAAAAAAAAAATCATAATGTTAATGATACTCACCAGTGGGTTGCCTCCCACCAAACGCTTGGTGGGAGGCACTAGCTTGACTTGGTGATAGGGATCAATCTAGTTGAGCAGGGGGCCTGTTCCAAAATAAGCTCGACAGTCAGACATGTTCAGCTTCAAAACCTTGCTCAACAACCCTTTCACAGCAGCTTTCCCTTTCTCCTTCAGCTTATGTGTGAGAATGGCTATGACTTTAGAGAACGGTTTGAAGGTACCCATGCACTTTAACTCATACTCAATGGAGTTCCCATCACACATGGAAGGTATCAAAGTCATTCTAGGATCTCCCTTGACCCNAACGGTTTGAAGGTACCCATGCACTTTAACTCATACTCAATGGAGTTCCCATCACACATGGAAGGTATCAAAGTCATTCTAGGATCTCCCTTGACCCTTTTCTTCTGGACTTTTTCTTTCACCCGTGGATTCCCTCTGAATTTAGTAGGATCAGTGCTAGGATCTTCATCAGAGAACAGTCTGCTCTCACCCTTATCACATACTCCTTCTCTGGAGCAACCTCCAGCTTTTCTACATCAAACACTGAGATGCAAGAGGCGTGTGATGAGAAATTTCTGGTGGGTACAGCCTTGTAGAAAACTTTCTTGTTGATGTTGGAGAAGCATACTCTCTTGTTGGGCATATCAATGGTTTCTCCTACAGTAGCCATGAATGTCCTTCTAAATATCAAAGGCATCTCATGATCCTTGTTCATCTCAACAACTTGAAATTCAGCAGGAACAAAGCATTCCCCTACTTGGACATGAAGGCTGCGGATGGTTCCATATGGAACTGCTCTGGAAGAGTTTGCAAAAGTACAATGCTCAACATCAGCAATAACCAAATCGTCTACAATAGCCTTTGAGATGAGATTCATACAAGAACCAGAGTCACAAAGAGCGTCATTGACGGTTGTTCCTACGAGGGAACATTGGAAAACAAATTTTCCAGGATCATCAACCTTAGGTAATACCTTTAGTGCTGGTGTAGACAGTGCTTTGGTATAGAGGACTTTGATCTCCTCTTGAGTCTCTCTACAGTTTTTAAAGAACTTGAGCAATGGGCGAATCTGCAGATCATCTTCGAATGCAAGTTCTTTAGGAAGCCTTCTCACCATCTTGTTAAAACCTGCCAGCTGCTCTTCACTAATGGGATCCATCATATTTCTAGGTGGAATTGGATAGGGAACTTTAGGAACATTGACTCGAGCTGGTGGAGTCTCAGCAGATTCACCAGGAGCAGTCTCTGGAGAGCTAGTAGATTGCTCTGTTCTCTTTTCTGCACCTGGAGCAGTTTCAGCAGACTGCTGCTCCATTGCTCTTCCCTCAGCTTTCTCACATATCAGCTCAGTTGCATTACAGTGCTCATTCTTATGATTCATCACACTCTTTCCATGAAGGGTATCTTGCTGCTTCTTAACAGTTTCAGCAGTTTGAGCAACCTGGACATCAGTCCTCTTTATGTAGTTGCTCACAATATCATACTTTGAGTTCAGATCAGTGAACATACTGTCCATTCTGGTGTTGATCTCTGCGGTAACCTGATTCAATGCATTCCCTTGAATCTGTTGACCCTGCAACAATTGTTGCGTCATCATACCCAGACCCTTCAGTTCCTCTGATTAACTGTTCCCGGTAGCTGGAACAGTTTGCTGATTGCTCTGCAGTTGTCCCTGGTACTGGTTCTGAATCTTCCCAGCCTAGCTTTTTCCATGCTGAAGATGTGTCTTTGGTTGTTTTTCAGTAGCTGATCATCCTTAGTCGTCAGCTCATCTATCTTCTGGGTGTCAAAACTGTTCCCTTTCTTGGAGCAATCGCTCTCTTCATTCTTATTGGCTGAGCAAGCAGCCATGTTTTCAATCAGCTTAAACGCTCCCTCAGTGGTTTGAGTCATGAAGTCTCCATTGCTCGCAGAGTTCATAGCACTCCGAAATTCCCAAGCAACTCCATCATAGAAAATACTCAAAAGGTAATCATCATCAAATCCATGGTGAGGGCATTCTTTGTGGTAGTCATTGAAACACTCCCATGCGTCACAAAAAGGCTCCTCAGTGAGCTGTTTGAAGGAGGTGATCTTGTTCCTTAATGCAGCTGTTCTCGCCTTACAGTAGAAGTGGTTGAGGAACACTGATCGGATCTTTTCCCATGAAGTGAGAGAACTGGTAGGGAGAGAGTTCCACCACTGTGCAGCCTTTCCATCAAGAGAGAATGGGAATAGCATGCACTTGATGTAGTCAGGTGGCACGCCATTTGCATGAGTGAAACTACACACTTTTTCGAAGCTCTCAATATGCTCCATTGGGATGTCTACTGGGAGACCACTGAACACCTTGCTCTTCACTAAAGCAATCAAAGAAGGCTTGATCTCAAGGTCATGTTTGGTGCAAGGTGGAGGAACAATGGCAGAGCGCATAGCAGGGATGTTAGAGTAATGTTTCTCTCCTCAATCGGAGCAGTCTGCGCCGCCTGTTCCTGGTGTGTGAGAGCAGCCTGTTGAGCAGCATCCTGCTGAGCTTGGATGGTCTGCTGCATCTGAAGCATTTGCTGATGCATCAATTGCATTGCTTCAGCGAGATCATCCTGATGGCCGTGATCACCCATGGTGGTGTTGGTTGGCCTTGGCTATTGACTGTTCTCTCTTTAAAACCTTGCGAGCTCTTGGTTGCTGAGTGTACCTTCAACAAAGAGAAAAAAGCAAGTTAGAGGTCTTAGACTAAATAAATAACCGAAAATGCAGGTAAAAAGATGGTGCCCGACAACGGCACCAAATTGATAGTATGTGTATATGCACACTAATTAACCTAATGTGCACACTACCACAATCGAATGGTATGTCGATGTAGCACTTTAGGGTCGAATCCATAGAGACCAACGATTACACTTTATTTATATGGAATCAATATCAAGCTAAAACAATAGTTGGGTTTGAATTGATGGTTTTGTGAGAAGCAAGTAACAAGATTGATTAAAGTATGCAAATTTAACAAGAAGCTAGCCTAGGGTTACTTCATCGGATGCCAATACTTGTGAGCTGAACAATTATTCAAGTGCTAATAAGAACATGTCCAGAACTCGGATCACTCAAGTAGAACTGCCCACTGTCGTGGTACTGTTCCTTATGCTGATCGATCTTGATACCTAAGCTCTCGCTTGGATCAAGATGCAACAGTAAGCAATAGAGATCAAGTCCGATAGGTTCACCAAACACCCTAATATCTACTTTCCCTGATTAGGGATGCTAGGCTTATTCATAAAATGTCTAGCAACCTATTACACAGTTAATGAATAGATTATATCTAAGTTCATACATTAAATGGCCAGATTAATGCAAGCAGTAAGGATGGATATGAATGAAGACAATATAATGATTCACTTATCTATGTTTAGCTCACGTGATTAACAGCCTAGAACCCTAGACAAGCTAGCCAACTACTCAGCAATATCACAAGAGATGAAAGACATGGATACTGAATAATACTGCATAAGAATAACAGAAAACAAAGAGGGTTCATGAGTTCTTCTCTAAATCGAGAGAGATAGCCTTCTCCCTTTACAAGAATCAAATCTCAATCTCCAACTCTAGGGTCTGGTCTCTTCTCTCAAAAATAGTGTAGTATAATAAAGAGAAACATAAAAAGATGATATATCAAAGTTGCTGGCGGCCAGAGAGAAAATTGGGATGATTAGGGCAAATCCCGAAATAATAAGGGTTTCCATAAGAGTCTCTGCCACAGGAACATGCACTCGGGTTGCTCCGCTCGATAGGAACAGTCACTTCAGACTGTTCTGAGTGAAAATCACCAAATTGCACTCTTTTCTGCCTCTTTTACTCCAACACGTCCATCTTACATCCAATGCAACTCCAGACCTGTAATGACTCAAAAAGAACTAGAAAAACTCTATGAAGACTCAAAAAGACTTTAAAAAACATTGTGAGAATATGCTAAAAAGACCATATATCAGTTTACACAGTCGACCTACATCAACAAAGACCCGTCGATTGATCGAGAGTACAACTTTTGAGGCGATCGATTCCAAATCCGTCCCAGAAGAAAATCAGCTGTTATGAGAGGTGACAGACCATGTCTATGATACAGTTCAATGGAAAACCGACAGCATTGAGAGTCTTCAAGAAAGACTTCAGAACATTGCAGACACGGTTACAAGGATGGCTGCAAGATGGGCCAGAAGTGATGAAGCCACAAGAAGTTTCATGGCTACTTGGTTCAGCATCAACAGAGAAGTTGTAGATACTTGTTTTCCAACAATTAGCTCATTTTCCACACCATAGCTCAACCAGTGCAACAGTCAATCTAAATGACTATAACAAAGTGCTGAGTGGGAGACAACCCACTGTTAGGTAATTTTTCTTTTGGTTTCTTTCCATTTATTGATTCTTTTTCGTTTTACAATTTTTGCAG